TCCAGGCTTAATTCAGCCTATAATTGCGTAAATCTTCTTGATGCATTGTGCCCCTTAACATTTTCAACCTCAACTCGAACTAAGTCCGCTGACTCTTATTCGAACATGATTTTAATTGGTCTGCAAAACCGAGTTGAAAAAAGACCGATTATTTTGTCATAGTACTTGTATTGTGAATCCATTTTTTATTTGCAGAGGTACAATACATACCGGAAACAAATGTTCATCAATTGTTCCAGTTTCAGGAACACTAAAGCATTGCAGGTAAGCAGAGTGGTCACTGCTACTATCACACCCCCTTTTAAATACGGCTTTTAAACAATTGCTGTTGAGGCTCTCAAATTCTGTGTGGTCAACAAGACATTGCAAATTCACTTCAGCTGAATGTTCAATGACGCGTATGCAATTGGGGTAACACTCCCTTTTACTTATAACCAAAAGTTTGTAGCTCGGATAAGAAATGCAGTTTCGCTCTTTAGCACCATATTGCATTAATTTATAAGAGCTTTTTGTGTAGCCTCCATCTAAAGAAAGAGTCAAAGCTTCCCCAGGTGTTTAAGGAATTGGGGTTTTGTGTTATCATCTAAGTTTTTGATAATTTTTGAAGAACCTATTGCAAATTTTGAGCACAACATTGAAATAAATTGCGAAGTATTCCTTTTTTCTTTTTTTTTGTAAAGACTATCGCTCTTCAAACAATATCATGATCCTGTGACTTGTTTTCCACTTATCCACCAATTTACTAACAAAGTTTTTTAATTGCTTTTGAATTTGTTGGCATTGACCTTCGTTCAATTTTGAGGGGTCAATAACATACATGGTATAACCTGGTACTGCGTTTTGAGACTGCCATTGTATCTAAAAAACGAAAAAAAATCAAAAAGTTGCAAAAACCTGCAGATAATTCGACACACACAATAGATCATATAAACAAACAAATAAAACACTAGGGCAAATCTGGTCGAATCTACCCAACTTTTATTTGATAGAAAATTGGATTACATATGTATACTAAAACATTTTATTACAAAGGGCTATAAAAAAATCGAATAAAAACATACTTACAATATGCACAGATCTCAAACACATATTTACAATTTAATACATATCTAATATATTTAGTTAAACCACTAATCCAATTAAAAAATTATAAACCTATTACTTTTTGTGTGATCAAACTTTTGTACAGTAAAAGAGCGCGAAAATTATTAGTGCATTAGGTACTTTCTAAAAACGCGTTCATTTCCAAGGCGCACCTGATCTTTGGTGAAATATTTCGAATCAAGAGCGCACTTCAAATTGGTCTGGTCATAGTTCAGGTTAACAAATTAAAATTATTTTTAATGGATTTTGAAATTAAAGGTATTCTTTGTATTTTATGAAATGAATAAAGACTTACCTGATTTGTGTTTTTCCCGTATTTGTTTTAACCTTTTTTGTGCGTCTTCAATTTGTTTACATAAAGTTTCAATTGTGTTCCTCTCCGATTCCTCCTTAGGTTTATTTTGTATTGTCTTTATCACAGTCTTATTTAAGCAAAAAATACATCAACTCAAAAAGATATTTGTTGAGCATAGTTTACAACTAACTATGGAGGATGGCAAAATATGCAACGCCTTAAATGAATCACTCTCTTCCAAATGTTACATATGTGGGCGAATGCAAAGGATATGAATACATTGGCTAAATGTTTAAAGCAAGACGTGAAAAGAGAATGTTTCGAATTTAGTTTATCCCCCTTTACGCAAAATACGCTATTGAAATATTCTTGAAGGCTGATACTGCGATCGAATTTTAGTTGTGTGGAAGGTAGTGTGCTATCCACCTCAGCTCACATATTAAACAGATGTACAACTCTCCTGCCGAGAAAGGTATACTCAGATATCTATAATTTAAGCGGTCAATATATAATAATTTTTAATCTTAAAAAATGCTGCTGAGTTTGTTTAATCTGACAACAATACAAAATATTATAAAAAACGCTAATTTTGCGGCATTCTCACTCTCATAAGTTGTGTATCCCTTTATGTCAGGTTTTTTTTTTTTTTTTTGATACTCCCTTCTGGATCATAGGGCCTCTAAGAAGGCCCGCATATGATTGAGAACAGGATAGGGATAGTTATTATTGCGAATGTATAAGTCTACTTAGAATAAATATTTACTGATTATATAGGTATTCCAAAATTGTGAAAGCTTGACTAAACAAAGCCCTCCTCTAACTAAAAATAAGGTCATAGCTTAAAGAGCAAGAAGGTGCTAATCTTAAACCTTCTATGATTTTCTATACAGTTTTAGTTATTAAAATTTTTTAGAATACAGCGCTCCCTATGCAGTGCCGCCTTTAAAATATAACATTACGTAGAGAATTAGAACTACCTGCTTAGGTCAGGTCACATCAAACTCAAGTATGTACTATTAAAATATTAATTTCCTCTCTTCAACTTTATGAAATGAGTGGCAACCGGAAATGGTTAAATTTGTTTTTTACCTTTTCTCAAGTAAAAATTTCATTAATCGTGTCTTACTATAAATATGCCATAAAACACTAAGCTGCGAATGGCTAGCGATGCAGCTCTGTTTCACTTTGAAATATAAAAGTAGAGCATTAAAAAGTCATTAGACATACAACTCTGAATATATTAAATGTAAAGCATGAAATAAATCGCGTTAAAATTAAATATTCTACTTTCAGCCCAAATCAGTTAAACCGGCCATAAAATGGCATATTAATATGTATGTATATACTACGTATTTGGATAATTACGAATTTCTGTACTTAGCAACGAGTTTGCTGCAAAAGATAAATATGAATTAAATGCTTTCTTATATACTTCTACATATGCCCGTATGTAGCTACTATATAAAATATGCATGGAAATGATGCTAATAAAATTATAAATTGACTAATTCCAAGCAAAAGAAGTGAAATATTTATTCAGACTTTGTTCGACAACACCGCAATCCACATTCTCTTTTACTTTGCTGATTAAAGGGCGTAGTCACAGAAACATATTTCTATATATATGTAGTTGCATCGAGTTATTGGAATGAATACAATAAAGATAAAACCAAAAACAATAAGAAACCACACATTGCTCTGGAGAACCACTTAACATTTCAAATTCAAATAATGAAAATCAGGTTGCGTCTTAATCGATATAGACAAACCACCTTCTGCGGTTATAAGTTGTTAAGGTTATAATTAAGCCTATGTCTTCGTACACTTTAGGAACTATGTCAGCATCAAACTAGTCAGAAAAGCATCAATATTACACGAATTTTATGGAATTTTGGTTCTGATAGAGGTTATAACCACCTCGTAAAAACACAAATTTTTTGCTTGGAAAATTCCACTCGATTTGACTGATTATTTGGACTGCGGCTCATACAAGCTCTAAGGGAATTTATATGTAGCTAGTTAATTTGGCTGCTTAGTATTTATGCATATATGTATATGCTTAAACTTTTTAATTTTGTTTAAATTTCTTCAATACGCATAGGCAAACGCTTACTTTGCATCAGTGTGCGCATACGCCGCCCATCTGTCATCATAGCTGTTTCAGTTATTCGGTTCAACCAACAATCCGATGCCAAAGTACAATAATACCCTTGTGAATTCAAAGACTCGCCTTAAAAACTAAAATATTATGTTAGACTTGTATATGTGTTTTTACATAATACCCTGTGGATACATAATACCCTCTACTTCATACAAAATCCACAATAATATACATTTTTATGACGTCGTAAAATTAATAAAACTTTTTACGCCTTTCTGCCTGGAATAAAACATTTGATTAGCTTTCTCCACACATTTGACTTCAGCTCGTTCGCTTGACTTTTTATGGATATCACCATACCATTTTGTTTATCGACTTAAGTCGCCCAATTATGTTTAAGCATCACAAAAAATACAATAATAGCAGAGTTTAAGGGGAAAATATGAGTACATACATACATATGTGCTTCACATAAATATATATGTCCTAAACCCATATATGAATATTAAGACATATATTATGTAAATATATACACAGCATATGTACTACCCATACTTGAAAATATATATGGAAAAATAACTGCAGTGGTAGAATATAAATAGTCTCCTTTCTAGATGTGAAAATTCTTTTGGAGAATGTATACTTAATAAAAGATTTATACATACATTCATCGTATGAGGTAAGCATGAAATTAGGAGCTAGATAGCGAGAAAGTAACATGAAAGAGAAGCAATTAATAAGAAACATTTGAAAATTAATAATTAATTCCTTTTTCAGCTACAGATGGGGATCAAATTATTTAATCTTTTTCTAATCTGCGGATTGATGTTCTCTCGGTCATATCGGTAACAGCGGTTCGCATACACGTAAACTTTGTCATGTCCGTGGAGTTTTGAAATATTTCTGTTTATTACGAGGAATGAGTTAATTAGCATATCGTTGTTAGTTTGATCTATACTTGTATTAAATACCTGGAAGACTCCACTAAATGAACAAATTTCTAGTTAAAGTTTCATTGTAATTCCAACACATTTTTACCTTGATTTTGATCCGTCAATTTAAATGTCAGCTATATGCTATAGTGGTCCGATCTGAACCCTGTTGAGGGTATAAATATGAGCTAGATCGAACGTTACGTTAGCTATATTTGAACGCCTTTGCTATGATCTTTGCAAACGATCACTAGCAGTAAATTATTGGACATCAGCTGTGATGCAGCATGTGTCTATATACAAATATATGTATAGTCTACCTACATGTATATATAATATATAAGTTTTTGTTAATAGCATATAAATAGCAACGACACCTCATTGCATGGTAAATTTAAAAGTCGTTGCATTCACAAATGTCTTTGACACACTTCTCTACACCATGTATGCACATATATAACCTATATATAATATGAAGAAAATATGTACATATGTATAAGATAAACTATAGCAACAAATATAATTAGCAAGAAATCCTTGTGTGAACTGAGAAAGCCAACATTTGTGGCCCGAGAGTTGGATGCTCGGTGCATTTGGCTTGCCATTGACATTGAATTTTAAATTTGGGAAATTCATTCAGTTCGAGATCTCAGTGCAGTGGCTGAACGTGCATTTCGGGGACTGTGTACCCATCAAAATAAGCGAAATATTCGTGGCAAAGAGTGAAAATTAAATAGAATAAAAATCAGTTTAAATGTGAAATGAATTTGTCGCCTTTTATGCGAGTATAAAGTGATTTCTGACCTAATTGTGCTCCAGAAAACCAGTGCAACAACGATAACACCCATTCAAATTCGGTCAGTGTCTTGGGCACTTGAGTGCGCAACAACTGTGCTGCGTTTCGTTATTATCAATTCTTATTTTTTCATAAATTAGCGACGTTGCTTGTACGAACACTAATGACCTCTGACGCAAATTGTTGGCAATTAGAGCTCAATCGACATTGCAATCAAATTGCCGTTAATTATTTGTTATTTGTTGTTTGGTTTTCGTTTATTAGTCGCTGCTGCTCGTGCTCATTGTAGTTGCGTCGCTCCAATTAAGCCTTGCGATATTTGATGGATTGCGCACAAAGTCATCACCAGCAATGTAATTCAAACAAAAGAGCGTATTGCTATTTATAAAATTCGATATGATGATGAGTATACGCCACCGCTCCCCGCCAGTATTTTGAGTGAATTTCTCTTTTTATGTGATTAATTATGCAAATGCCAATAAAACGATTGCGTAAATAAAGCATTAGTGCGAGTGTTCTGCCCGCATGAGGCTGTTCGTGCACTATACATCGGCTAATGATTACGTCGTGGGTCAATATTGCAACAAAATACTGTGAAAATCACTTCTTTTTTATTGTAAATGTATAATAAATGCATTTCGGCCGCAAATTATGCACATCCGGTAACTTTGTGGCGCCAAATTAAATGAAAAAGTGCTGGTTAAATATTAACAATTTTTATGGTAGTAGATACCTGCTTACCGCATGTGAATGGTGGTACATAAAATGGGCTTGAATCAATTATTAATCACATTATAGGTAGGTAGGTGGGTGCACTAAATTTTGCAAAGCCGTCATATCCACCAAACATTTTGTATCCTGTACAAAAAAGTCGTTTAGTATAGCGTCCATCGTCTGGCCAAAATCAAATAACCGCGTCCCAAAGATGTGCTAGAATGCGATCACATAAACGCATAATAAAAACATATAGACTTGTGAACTTACTTAAAAGTACGTGTGTATGCCTGTACGTGTGCAGATAATAAAAGTCGATGCTAAGCAAAAAGTACATTTGAATGATTTATTCTAAAATTAAATCACGTGTCGTTTTGCATGATTTATTTCAATCAATTTAAATCAGAATAAATGCTAACCATTCGCGCAGCTACCGCCCTCTCGCCAATCTGTATACTTGTATACCACATTACCGGCAGTGTGCCCCTCCGTGCACAGAATGACAGAATGATTATGAAAGATTTGTTGACGGCCACGCCGGAAAGGCAGGGGCGAGATGTAATGATTTCGTGTGCTGAATTCGTTTCAACATTTGATGAGCGGCGAAAATTCCAATTATATGTGGAATTTGAATGCAAATTTAGGCGTTCACTCGCAACTAAGCAAATAAATTTACGCTTTGCCGATGGCGTTGCTGGGGATCTATTTATTCGGAATAGTTGTGCTGAAAATATATTTAGGTTTTTTGGTTTGTGAATTCCAACTTAATTTCCGTAACACATATGGTATATAAGCATACATACATATATAAATACGAATCACACATTATTGCAGCGCGGAAAAACAATTACTTATTTATTTATAAGTCTTCTGGAGAACGACAGCAGTTGCCTTTAAAAACAGATATATAGTCAAACCACTCCTATTTCTTATCTCCTATTTGTAGTATCTATTTCATCTACGACAAATTGAGACTCTCCCCCAAACCTTTAATAAATGTTGCCAGTGTGATAAATACTGTTGGAGTCCAAAAGTCATTAAAAAAATGTGTACTCAGATCTATACACAGAGGAACGGATGATCCCCAGGCCAGTATTTTTGAGTTGTTTCGCAAATTTAGATTCAAAATTGTATTTTGGTGCCGGGTACCGGGTTTCTTTGCGACCTCTACGCGACGTCGGTTTTGCCAACGATTCAAGTCTTTTGGTATGAGTCTAACATTCACACGCTTGATACTAGAGCTCTACGTATTCGACTAATCGACTAACCGAATTAACAGGTTTGTGCATTATTCAAATATTAATTAGTAAGCCGTTGACTATTCGATTGATGCTCATTTTCTCAGTGGAACGACTATTCGAATAGTATTAAATGGTTAATATTCATTCGAACGGTGACATACCGGATATTTGAATAATCGGTTTAGATAGTATCAGATTATTCGAAAAATTTAAGAGCATGAAATAGGGCTCTTAAAACCCATAACATTAATCAAAATGGTTGAGTTGATCCACAAGAATGTTTAGCCACTGTCACTGAATGCTTTGTGCCAGTCAAATACTTGTGTTCGTGATAAAGTAGACTTCCCAAAACTATTCTGCAACATCTTCAATGGTTCCGTGCCCGTGATTTTATGGATACATAATAATAAATTTTTTTCCATGGTAAAAATCACCTAACACACCTTTCGCGTCGTAAAAAAACAGTAGCCAAACACACACTAATTGGCATTGATCAAACTTCACACGAACATACACAATGAGACATCCAAAAAGGATTATATAAAACGGCAAAGTGAAGGTTATAATGTAGCACCCTGTTTGTATACCCTGAACTGGGTATAATAAGTTTGCCTGAGGTTTGTAACACCCAGAGGGAAACGTCAGGGACACTCTAAAATATATATATAAACAAGAAGAAACGTTAACTTCGGTTGTACTGAAGCTATAATACTCTTCAAAAATACAAAAGGTTCCTCAGAAAAAATTGATTCCGATCATTCAGCTTGTATGACAGCAAGAGGCTATGGTGATTCCATCTGAACAATTTCTTCGGAGATTCTATAATTGGACTGGCATTCGGTCTCAATTTTGCTAATTTTTTGTAAATTTTGTTATTACTAGTACATAATAAATTACTATTTTCATACATACTTTTCATTCACAGTTTTTTCTATACATGAGACAATTTTTAAATATGTATCATTTTCATAATACTTGTAATTATCTATAAATATAAATTATAAGAAACATTTTAGTTAAAATTCAGATATGATGATTTTATATTTCTGAACGATGTGGTAATAAATTTTAAATTTTTTATTTTTATTTTTTTACCAATAAAAACTACGAACTTTTACATATATTTACTATTTAACAGCTATATTTCCATTTTTTAATCAATTTCACATACCTCGGAACTCCCTAATTTCTTATATGTATTGTATATATTTATATACATAGCTTATGCCAAACTCAACAGGCAAACCTGTTAATTTAAAATAATCGCGTAACGAAATCAATTGGGACTTCGTCACATCTTGTCTTCGATATTTAGTTTTAGTCATTAATAATCAAGCAGTGACACAGTTTTATAAATACGAAAACCAGATGATGATATTATTTTAGTAAATGAGTTAACTGGAGCCCATGAAAATAAATTCACTCGCCGCGTAAATACTTAACCATAAAAGAGAAATATGAATTTATAGCCGACGGTCATTTAAAGCGATTTCACTTCGCCTTTGTGGTGACTCACGTTTTGTATATAGGTATAACTTTATAACGGTGAGGAAAATATACATGCGATTTGAATTTACTGCTACATAATACCATAAATACATGTTGATTATTAATAGTTTCAATTTTATTGCAACTTGTCCCTCTATTCTTAGACTTTTTAGTTGTTAACTTATCTTCTTATCATAATTTAGGTATAGTGCTCTTTTGCCCATTTCCAAGTATATTCTTATTCACTTAAATCTGTCTAATGGCCAAGTTGGCTGAGCTTAAGTACATCAAGTAGTAGTTGACTTTCATTATTATTTAACATACATTATTTTCAATTTTGGTTATAAAATATTTATAGTCCTTAAGAATTTTTTTTTAAAGAAACAGGGGTTCATCGTCCGTTCTTTAATTTACATTGGATGCTTTAAATCCTTTAATCCACGGTGAATGTAGCGATATTAGATAATAATCCGTAATAAGCCTCCCTAGCTTAAAGAGTACTGACTTTCACATATTTGTGTAACTAAAAATATGTAATATATATAATATGAAGGTTCTAAAAATATAGTCTACCTTACACTATCATAACCTTTCTTCATTGCTGTACCACATCGCTCTCATTATATGTGCTCATGATGGCTTAAATTTTAACTCAATATCATTCATAGCAATTATTGACAGAATTCAACTTTTTAAAAAAATAAAATCATGATAATTAGATTTGCTGACGGTTATTTATCAAATATTTATCTTGTATAGTTATAAATTACTTCACAGCTTGTACTATTTGCAAGTCCAACTAGTACGTCGACAATCTTTTTTCCATGCATACAAGTATAACTGGTATTTATTGGAGTTTATATTCTTGGATATATATGTTGTGCCAAATACAAAACATACCAGTCACATATTTTTTCAAAACATCTAAAAAATACCTGGTTCATTACGGAGTAAAGCTACGGATTTTGGTTCAAAGGATAATACATCAAAAACTATTTATTTGGCAACACAATAAAAGCTTGTTTACTAAATTTAATATGAAAAATTATTATTATTCGGTATTCCCAGTTGTTCCAGAAATATTTAAAAATCATGCAAAGTAACCAATTAGCAAATCTCTTTATAAGTGGTCGGTTTCCGACTAGTTCGTTTTTAAATTTTTCTGACCAGTTTGTTGCTTTGCTGCAGGGCATATTTAATGAGGTTATTAGTATATCAGTATGATCGTAATGCAGTAGCAACAAAAGGAGTCGATGTAGCTTTTGCCGTTCTTGAACTCGTGTTTGGCTGGGACCCCAAGGGGAACACAAAGAACTTAATGTGATTTCTTTTGCAAACGCCACATTTGAATACTTAGTTTTTGTATAATACAATGCCAGCGGTGGGTAAGACTTGTGCAACTATTAAGAAAACAAAAACGAGAAATTACTTTTGCCAACGTCAAGTTTGTCAGATTTCCTAATTCATAGTATAGGCCGTATAGCGATCTTACATTTGGGTAAACATAAAACTAATGTTCATTTTTCGCTTCGTACTCTGAAAAAGTGGTTGATAGACAACTCTAAGAAAGGCTCTACAATTATGAGCTCTTAATTTTAACAGGAAGGTCCTCCGCCCAACGGTTTTATATATTTTTCTTATTATCAGATAGAAAAATTCATACCTTGCTTTCAACTACTTGAAAACATATTTCGTTTTGTGGATTTTGTTGGAAATTGAGTGTTCTTCAAAGAAGGTCGCTTTTTTCGTAAACCTAACCGTTTAAAACATATTAAGGTACATACGCTTACCTGTGTTTCTTGATGTTTCATATTTCATTGCTTTTGTTTCCAAAGCGTTTTTCACTTCTTTTTATACCCTGAACAGGGTGTATTAAGTTTGCCACAAAGTTTGTAACACCCAGAAGAAAACGTCGACACACACGAACACACGTCCATTTCTGCCAAGAAATTGCTCATGCTGTCATACAAACTGACCGATCCAACTCAAGTCCTTGCATGGCAAACTTGTTTATTTGACAAGTTGTTCTTATGAGATGTGGTATAGATTATTATTCAATCTTTCGCTACAATCTCCGAAGAAATTGTTCAAATCGGACAATTATAGCATATCAAGATAAAGATCTTCTCATACTTTTTTATGCTATAAGAAATTCACTTGAGAAGGCTATTCAAGCTTCGGTGCAGCCGAAGTACACGTTTTTCTTATCTTTAATGGGCATTGTGAGAAATACGAAAAAGAGTTCAGCAGACTAATTTTCTTAGTAAAATTATTATTTGTTTAAGCTAAGAACACAATCATGTTCATACATAACATACGCAAATATGTGTGCCATTATTCAAAATCGGCAAACCACCTAGAAATAGGTGGAACCTTGTCATAAAGAATCGTCATTGCCAATCGACTGTCTGGCTTTCCACCGTATTGCAGTGTGAATGAGTGCCTAACGGTATTTCATTTTCACATTCGGTAAATTCATATTCAATGTACGTCAAAGCTATTTGTCACATGGCATCAATGAACATCAAAATCAACGAATAGCAGTGCCAAGAACATAGACAAGTGAATACACTCGGATATACACAGTCACACATACATACAAACATATGCACATCGTATGTAAGTACCTGCCTCGTCGCCAATTTACTTTTCAACCTCAATTTCAACGTCACTGTATGCGACAACTTTGCACTGACGATTTTACTCTGCCGCGACTGCAGAAGGGGTATACTTATGTGTGTCATGAAAAAATGTTAAAAGGAAAATGTTTGAAAATAGTCGGAACGAACCAAATCAACAATTATAAGAACACTTGCATACACACAAATATCTGATACGCACCGAGCCTCTAGCACATTAGAGGCAAAATAAAGTGATAAGCAGAGGGAAAGACAGACAAACATGCTGCAAATGCCAATTGGCTTTCGGCTCGTGCATTAGGTTGTGCGCCACAAATCACCCGATCTTAGCGGCAGCTAACTTCCGCAATTATTTACAATCCCATTATATTATATTAGGTACGAATTTCGTAGCTGCCCCAACGCCGGGCCTTCGCTTTGGCTGTGAAATGTGTTGGCCGACATGTTGCAGCAGTGCCGCGTGTATGGCCCGACCCTTGCGACGTTCTGCCGTGCAATTATGTATCGTTGCGGTTGTTTTGGATAATTATTTGCTGTTGGCTCTTAACTTCTCATCACCGTCTTCCGTAGCAGTTGCCGTTCTCATACTTTGTTTCATTTCTTTTTTTGTCATTGTCACAAATTAGTTCGAACTGGCGGTGGCAGAAAGCAGACGACTGGCAGCTGTTTGCACTCACTGTTCAGAGTTCGCACTCGTGGTGCTTACCTTCGTCGAATCGCCCTCGTGAGACTGATGAAAGTACCACAACGCACTCATTGCAATATACAAACTTACACTCACACTTACATCTACTCTTGCAACATGTTGCTACAGAGTATAATAGTTTTGTTCACCAAACTGTTGTTTCTAACATATTATATATATCACCCAAAAAGAATCAAGTTAGATATAGGGTAGGTAGGCTCTTTACAGGAAAAGAATCGCAATTATCGGTCGAGGGTTTCGTCACAACGTTTCAGAGGTTGCAGAACTAAACCCCTTTGTTCTCATGAACTTTATCAGAAGTACCGGGTGGTTCAGAAGGGAGACAATAGAATGAGGGGATATTAGTCCCGGTGGTATCACAATGGGCCTACCTATCTAAGGTTGTATGTACGTATATAAATGATCAGGATGATGAGACGAGTAGCAATCCGAGAGTCTTTCCGATAACTTGAGTAAAAATTGAGATATCTTAATGAAACTTGGTGCACGTGTTCCTTGGCAAAAAAGTGAGGACAAGCTCGCAGATTGGCGTAATCGAACGACTATTTCGCCCACCAAAATCCATTAATAGAAAACATAACTCGGCCAATATTTGAGTTCTTTTAATGAAACTGAGAGAATTAATATCACATACTCGAACATACATACATACATATATCTCATCTGAAGGTGTTTTTAATAATCATAGGCTGTGAAAATCAGTTAATAACCACGCCTACTCTCCATTTACGGTTATATTGAAAACTACTAAAAGTGCGATTACTCACAAAATAAAGGCGCCACAAGCTTTAAATTTCACAATAATATAATAATATAAATATATATAGCAGGGAAAGGATTTATGGGAGCCGGTGTAGAAAATTCAACCAATGAGGTGTGTGCTAAAGGCATTTGATTCTTGCAAGTTGCATGACTATAAAATGTTCGATTACACCCGAACTTAGCTCTTCCTTACTTCTTATCACTACCGTTTACTCAAGTCGGCTATCGCTACAGTGACGATAGCTTCCCCTGTCTCTCCATCTGTTTGCCGAATTCAAAGGCTTTATTGTTTTATAAATATAGCAAACTATTTAATTGGACTGCATTCGATTTAATGATTTCCACAGACAGGTTTGCCCCAAAAACGGTTTATTCTTAATTTTGTGACAAAGTTGCAAGGGTGAGGATACACTTTATATGTGTATGACATTGAATTGTTGACGCCAGCTCTCCATTGGCCTTCTTTAAGTCTAAAACTGGAAGATCCGCCCACGCGTTGCTGTCGCTAAGATATATAATACATTAAATATAAAAATCCCCAAAACTGAAAAAGTTGTTCTTAGCGAAAGAACTGATGATACCCCGGTGTTGGATGGGCATAGGTTATTTGGTTAAAGCTCGTAAATGCAAAAAGTAGTGTCTTGGAGATTTTTAAATAGGAGATTTCAAGCCTAACCCTTTAGAAGTAAATCGCGTACAAAAAACGTAACAAGTAATTTTTGTATATAAAGATGCGATATAAAAATATACAAGCGATTGATTGCTAGATTTTTTTTGGGTTCTCGTATGATTTATAAAACTATCTTAAATGTAAAAATGTCTACAAGTATGACTACATTTAGCATCATTAATGCCATTGCAAAAACAAGCATATTGCGTAAATCCACAAAGAAACTACGAGTCATTAAAATCGCTAACGTTATTATATTTCAACGATGAGATTACCGAAGAAACCAATGTTGTTTTGTTAAGCTAATTTGATGCAGTTTCGAAAATTGTTTTAAAGGCCACATTTTTTATACGAATGTAAACAGCAATCAAAGTTGATAATTTGCTATTTTACTCACCAACAGAATCCAAGAAAATGTTTCGAAAGTTCTTAGAATTCACAAACCGGTACAAGATTGTGCGCGGCATGCTCTCTTATGGAACGCTATGGCCTTGCGGCTGTCTCATCGAACAGACCATAATCGAAAAAAGGTCATTTCGTAATTACGACTGGATGAAATGTCTGAAGTAAGTACATACTTACATATATATACCATATGATGTCGCCACAGACATTACGCTAAACAAGATGCAACTATCATATCATTGAAATCTCTCATATACACCTAAATTTATTTTCCAACAGGTTCAGTTTATTCGGTGGCCTTTTCATGGGACCTACAATTTATATGTGGATACGGCTGGCCGGCGTCATGTGGCCCCGCACAGACATTAAGTCATCACTTTGCAAAGCCATTACCGAGCAGGCGGCCTATGATCCGTTTGCGATAAGCACGTTTCTCTTTGTTATGAGCCTTTTGGATGGCCGCACGTACGAACAAGCCAAGCAGGAGGTAAGAATTGAAATCTCACCCAGATGACTTATAAGCACACACAACCACATTTATAGCAGACCAAATTGCGTTTACTGCCACGATGGGTATAAGGCAAAACGTATGTTCAGGTAGACACACATCCACGTATGTTCATATATGCTAGTGCACCTACAGTTCTAAAGTGGGTGCCGAGTTGGTGGTTCTTAAGTGTTAATACACATACTTTTTTTATAGCCTCACTAATATCAATTAAGTGTTCCTTGCTTTCGTTTATGTGTGTATTTTTTTATTTCTCGAGTAACGTCAAGTTGCGTGCGTCTATCCAAAAGTTGGTCTATCTTCGTATTTGCCTTCTAAAGCAATGACAAGCATTTGGCACCTCGCCACATCCCCTTTGCTAGTAAAGATTAAAACACACTTTGGCTCCGTTGCTTCTCAATTCGTAAACTAAGCAATCCACTTGTACTCGTACAGGGGGTCGTTCGTTCGTTATCGATCGTACCAAGTGTACTTGTAAGACACTTAAGATTCTCGTTTATTTTTCCATATACCATAAAATGTATGTACAGTATTATTCAGAAATATCGAACACATTATTTGTCAGGCCAGTTCATTATATCGAATTTTTGATTAATTCGAGTATTCACTGGTATATTTTTCCATAAAAATTGGTAAATTATCCGAAAATTGCAGTTTAAATGCAATTTCAATGGTATTATTGTAGGACAACTGAAAATGTACAGGGAAGGGCTACCAGCTGCCATGGAATAAAACACAATCACTTGAATGCAACCAATCCATATAAATATAGTAAAGAGCAATGAAATCTTTATGAACATTTGTTTTTAATCAACACTGCTTTAAGTAATTCTAATTATTTAAAAGATGAATGTACTTGCTGTTACATTATTGTAATTTAATTTCGATTTCGATATTCTCTCTTTGCAGGTGAGTGACAAATTCTTCGAGGCCTATCGTGTGGGCGTAATTTATTGGCCCTGTGTGCAAACAGTGAACTTTGCCTTCATAACGCCTCGCAACCAGGTTGTCTTCACGTCCTTCTTTAGCATGTGCTGGACGACCTTTTTGACATATGTGAAGTATTTGCAAGGACAAGCCATCGAATTTGAACACCCTGTTGTTGATATTCACATTCATTTCACACATTAGCTTTGCAAGCAAAATAGAAATTGTAGCTGTTAACTTAAAATAAAAGTATGTTGAAATATTTATTCAAGGTTTCGATGTTTCATTTTCTATTCATTAATTATTGTTAAGTACAGTTTTACAATATCATCTGTAGAGTGCAATATGAGTTTCATACGAAAGTTTGAAAGACTGTTATATGTATAAACTATCAATGAATATCGAGTAATGCAATTTCTTAGACAGAGGACTTGATTATAAAGATGAGATCCAACTCAGCTTTTCTTCAAATATTTTCCGTAGCCACAAAAACCTTAAACATTGTCGAAAATTTAATTGTAACTTGAACAATCGGCTTGAGGGGGTTGAATGCAGCAAGCTAGAACATCCCTTTTCCATATACATACATCATGTATACCGTACCCTTCTTTTCGGCTTGGTTTTTCTTTTCAAAATGTGTCGATAATCATTAGTAACCGAGTTACGTGCAAGGATATATGAGCTAAGGAAATCAGAACAACAATACCAATGATGAGAATTGGCTTAAACATGTTATTTCAGTGCTACCTCCCAGTGCAATGTCAATGACAACCAAAAGCTAACAGAAATTAGGGCGAGACATAATCAACAAAAGCGCTAAGCCCCGCGCGTGTTCACACTTTCTGTGCAAATATTCACAGTCGTAAACATGACACCATTTACGCGTTGCTCGATGGAGGATATGCTTTAATGCGTACAATTATTAGATTACTTCTTTATGAGCCTGTCAAAGAACTTAATGTTTCTCGAATGTTTGTATTGTTGATGATAGAAAGAGAAGTGGTCGTTCTCGCGTGGTTCAAACCAATTCAGCCACAAAAACTATTATCAAACGCATTCGTAGAAATACCTTTAGAACACAGAAAATAAGGTCAAGAGAAATGAGTATATCAACCAAATCAATGTCTAGACTTAATCAAAATGATCTCCACATGAAAGTCTACCGTCAGTCAACTTGTCATTTTCTGGTGCAAGCGTCTTCTTAAGTGGCCCGCGGTATATCGCCATTAAAATATCCTTTTTACGGATGAAAAAATGTTCACTGTTGAAGAAGTTTTCATTAACCAAAACATCAAAATCTACGCAAAAACTTCCAAAGACACAAAATATGTTATTCCAAGCTGCTGTGATGGTTTGGTGTAATAGAACTTTAAGTAGGAATAAAATTTTGATGTGTGATCCAACTCAAAAGATAGAATAGTTTATATTATTTATTATTTATTATATTACATATGACAACGGGATAAAATTATCTGTAAGATTCCAACATATGATAGTGTAATAATTTATCTGCTGTCTTGAGTACGTTGAGCTATGTTAAAAATTAAATAAGGTCATATTATATATACTCGTATTACTAAAGAAACGAACACAGTAGAAAATCACATTGGCGGCTTCATCGCCATCGGCAGCGATACATTTTTCTGTGTTTTACTACAGTCTGGTGGTTTCTGACAGGCCTTGTCGGAAATCACATTTAATCATTTTATCGAATACTCAAGTCTACGACTGGTATACATATTTTAAGGATGGTCGAGGAACCGTCGAAGACATGCCTCGTTCCGGTCGTCTTTCGACGTCTAACACTGACGATAACATCAAAAAAGTGAAGGAAATCGTGCTCGAAAATCGTCATGCTGTGTTATAGAGATAGCATGTAAACTAAACATCGGCCGGGAAGCAGCTCGTTTGATTTTGATCGATAATTTGGGCATGAGACGCGTCAATGCTCGGCTTGTTCCAAAAGAGCTGAATTTTTTACAAAAAGACCGGATCGAGCTGTAGTTGTGAATGGAAATATTTGCGAAAGGTTTATTCCGAGTTTATGCACCAAATTTGGTCGAAATTTAACAAGTAGTTCCTGAGATAAAGGATGTCACCTAAAGGTAGACGGTGTCACACCCATTTCATCCTAGCTTTGAACAATTTTGATAGTACCAAGCAACACGTTTACTTAGCTATCGGGCAGCCAGTTTTCAACGCATCTCGTGATTCTGATCTATCTGGATTAGTTTTAGGTATTACAAACAAACGTTAGGTGAAAAAAAAAATAATACTCAGTAGCAAATTATAGCGAGAGTATAAACATGTGCAGGATGATAATCTTTTTGTGCCTCTGCATGACAGTCTGTCCCTTCATGCAAGCGATAAATTGATGAAAATGGAGAGCGTTAAATTTAACCGCAAAGATTACGGTATGTATAAGCAGTTTCCAACAGCGCTATTATGATGGATGAATATAGTAATTTCTATTAATTGGACTCATTTCTTCATGAAGTTTACCTATCAGCTATCTTATTTTACTTACACCAATTTGCTTATATTTTATATTCAAGCTGCTATAATCGACATAACGGGCGATACATGTTTAGGTAAGCATACAATTACAAGTTTGTCACACTTCCTTTCAACATGTGTCGCTTATATACATTCCCATTTTTACGACGTCGATCAGCTACCGTGTACGCAATTCACCCGATTAATATAATGAAGTCTCTTTGGTTCTCTACCGCCACTTGCATGGCCACTGGTGGGGTTATTTATCATGCCGCATATACATACATATGTACCTCCAACTAAATTTTATTATCTGCAATTTCTTTACGGTGGCATACCCACTTCACCTTCCCTTAACAATGTGAAATTATGATAAGTTGTCGCCATATAATAGTGTGTATGTACAGACGTGTGTATATGTGATTATGTATCGACGCGACTACTAAAAGCGCCGACAAGCGGATCTCCATGCAGACGATCGTCCCAAAAATCTTCAACAAGGTCGGTCTTCTGACGCTTCTGTCTCTTCAAGTGGAGGCCAATTGTGTAGGGTGATATCTTTTATTGCCATTGTCGTTGAATTTGGCTTCTCCTTTAATGTCGCTTTTTAGCTTTGTTTTGATAGTGTTGTTATTATGTTGCTTGCGATGGCAACTTACACAATCTTACACTTCCATTCGCGTGGTTCGGGAGGTACGCAGTAGGAGTTCTCTTATTGCTGCTCAATGGATGGGGTCTCGTTTGATGTTCGTCCAATGTTTGTGTTGTTTTTATTGTGATTTGTGTATAACGTAATATACGAGTACAAGTGTATATGTTCAGATGTGCGTATGTGTCTGCTTTTGTTAGTTTGTTCCTTTTAATAGTGCCATTTTCGAAAAAATTGCTTCATTTAATGTTCATTTGCTTTGAACTCTATGCGTGTGAAGAAGGTTTTATGGAGAATTTCAATTTCTCAAGTGGCAGTTAACATTTTCAAACAACTCATTTCAAATATGCTATTGTAGTTGAGTACTGTTATACCTGTGGTATATACATATGTATATATAAATGTGTATAGGCACGTTATATTGTTTTTTGTTTCTTCTTTTCACAAATTAAAGAACTCCAACAAAAAGAAATCGAACATATTCTTTTTAAACTAGTATACATATATCACAACCTTTTCGCGACAAGTAGGCGTTCAGAAATACGAACCAAAGGGCGATCGGCTACACCTCTTATGTCTCTTTACACTGCCAGACTAGAGTCAAGCTCAACAGATAGTAAATAGTGCCAACTTTCATTGTGATCTACCGGTGATATTTCAGCGATCTAACCCTGTTTGGAGCGGTAAGTTTTAGTCTAAGTTTGTCGTCCTTAGAGCAACATCTAGCAGCAGGGTTGCTTCGTATCCTCCTGACCCGTGTTGGCATTGAGTCCAACCCGGGTTCCAAGGAATTCTTCTGCTGCATTTGCGCTAAAAGGCTCCATCCGAACTCTACCTCAGTTAAGTGCAGTACATGCAATGGATGGAGCCATCTTAGGACCTGCTCAGGCCTCAAGACCCATAGGGAATGGACCACGAGTTACGTGGCCCCATACTGCCAACGCACTACTACGGCACCTGCCTCAACAGCTGTGCAATCTGCACCATGTTCGCGCACTGTGATGCCACTCCAGTCGAGTGGCCAAGAAAGGACCTCCACGACCCTAAGAAGCTCACACAGGCAGCATGACTCCCAGTCTGACCAATTCCCCCCAAACCTTCATCTTGCTCCAATCGTTGTGTGAGAACTACTCAGCAACTCCTTCCTCGCACAATCTGTCCCGTGTGTAAGACCGTCATACGCCGGAACGCCGGATCAGTCAAGTACAATTCTTGTACTGGCTGCGCACCACTCCTTAGTGGACAAGCAGCATTTAAGGCAGTAACCTCCTATTGCACATTGTCCAAAAGTGTCTTGAGAAGCAGGACAGCAGTGGAAAGTGTCGCCAGAAGCAAGCGACCTAACATCTACTGGGTACCAGATCACAAGGGCTTCGAGAGCAATGAGATAGTGGACGAGATTGCCAAAAGTGGTGTACGGCTGGCACTCAAAAACGCGATAAGCATTGGAAAACCCATGCATTGTCTATACGACGATCTGGAAAGAAGCATGGTAAGAAAAATCTAAATGCCATGGAACGATCTACCTAGGTGCAATATTGCAAAACTCATGTGTAAAACCGTAGTTGGGAAATATACAAAATTCCTACTGACACTCGATAAAAGAAACTGTAGCAACATACTCACTGGACTGACTGATCAAGATAACTGCAGAAAATGTCAAGAGCAAGGCACCAGCATCTGTTGTGCACTTGTCCCGCATTGGCAAGACTACGCTTTAAGCATTTGGAGCGCCACGTATGAGACACTGGAAGAGGTATTGATTGTAAGGCCACAGAGTCCATAGAAATTCTCGTCAATCGCATTCATCCTAAAGGATGACTACTTCTAATGAACTTCGTAACTGAACTCTACCTGGTATCACAAAGGACTATAACTGGTCTATGCGTGGCTCATTGGTCTACCAGATAAACCTAACCTAAATAAATTGCATTCATGCAGATTGCTTCTATATATATATCTTATATAATCAGTAAAATGTTGGTCCGTTAGTTGTTTCCTAAATTATTCTGTGCTCAATTACGGAAATATTTTAGTGATATATTTAAAACATTCCCCATCTTTGTTTAGAGCTTTTATAAAACTGTTTTATCAGACCTAACTTAATATGAAGAGGGGG